AGAATTATCTCGCTGATATGTTTCTCATACTGGTTTATATATCCATCGAATATACCACACCATACACCAACATATGATCAACCATATATCGGATCGAATGAACTTTTTCTCTCTCGAGCTCACCGGCGAAGACTCGGACATTCCTATACAAAACATACAACACTAGTGACATTGTCACATGTTCATACTGTACGTACTTCGCTCGTTAGAGTTCGTTTTATTTTTCGATTTATTTCTTGGCTTAAGTAACTGCAGAGCATGCGCTGTTCGTTCATTTCGATTCATTTCATCCTTTCGAGAATTGTACTGATGACTGGCTGTTCGATGCTTTTTAATAACAATGGGACCTGTGTCAAGCACATTCATAGTAATTGAGCAAGAGTAACGGCAAATGAGAACAGACCTTGCTCGATATCGATGAAAGCACCACTATGACCCAGTATGTTGTCCGCTCGACATTCATAGTGACCATACTGATCTCCATTCAAATCCTACAACACAAGATGATAGTTCTCGACAATTTCAAACATTCAGCACATACTAGGATTTCCAGCGTTGTCTCCAAACAAAGATCATCGACTATTTCCCTCTTGACTATGACATTTGACTCATAGACGAGCACATTATTCCTCAGCCATGTGAAATTGGGTAACGGTAAACCGCATGCACGACATTTCATCGACACTTTTCGATGAATGTCAGCAATGATCTTCGTCGCTGTTGTGTACAACATCACACGAGGAGAGTCTAAATGAGAACACAAACATCTCTTCTAGTGACATCAAACTTCGATTACGAATGCTAGTTTTTCTCACCAGAATTAGTTTAATTCACGATACACACACACATGAATATTTAATCCTATTTTCTTTTGTCTCTTTGTATCACACACAAAAGAATTAATTATAAATGTCTCTCGCACAGGCTATAGTGTGCACCTATCTTCCATTCACTACTTACGTAAATCATCACAACAACTCATTCTCGTCTCTTAGAGTGAATTAATTCTACATAAGACTCACACTACGTTCATGTGAGAGTGAGTGTGATAGAGAGACGGAAGACCAAAGACATTCTCCACTCACAAACATGCTGAAGCGAGTGTAGTGGAGAAGCAGACGACAATGGGATCGATGGATTAAAATAATAGAAGCATC